GAGCCAAGGGGGTGGTGAAGGAATAGGAGGCTTTCTGGTTATGAATGCCTAGAAATGGAAATCTTTGCGGCAGCAGGGAATGGCAGCTGGACCAAATGCTGCCAAGAAGCCAGATAGGACAGAGGTTCACGCCTGGATTTAGCAAGATCCTGCGGCTGACTTTGATAGGAAGGATTTTAGGTGTACTCCTGAGATGAAACCATGAAAAATAGGTTAAAATAAGAAAATAGAGCTAATGAAAATAGCAAATGTAAAGAAAACCCCCAATTCTCACAACTGGACTAATGGACAGCACCACGGTAAATGGAGAAGAATTTGCAGTTGTCAAGAATTTCATCTGGCTTGGATCCACAATCAATACTGCTGGAAGCAGCAGTCAAGAGATCAAATGGCACATGGAACTGGGCACATCGGTTACTTTAAAGTCTTGCAAGGCAAGAGTGTTACCTTGAGGACTAAGGTGCACCTGGGTCCAGCCATGGTATTTTCAATGACCTCATCTGCATAAGGCATAAGGAAGGGCACGAAAGAACCAATTGAGTTGTGGTGCTGGAGGAGAACCTTGAGATTCATGAGAGAACCGTGAACTTAAAGAGAACAAACTAATCCATCTTGGAAGAAGTACAGCCAGAATCTCCATAGAAGCAGGGAGGGTGAGGGTTCGTCTCTCGTGCTTTGGACATGTTGTCAAGAGAGACCAGTCCCTGGAGCAGGACCCCATGCCTAGTAAAATAGAGGGGCAATGACAAAAAGACGACGACTCCCCAGCAAGACGGATGGACACAGTGGCTGCGACAAGGAGCTCAAACCTAAGAATTACTGTGAGGATGGCTCAGGACAGGGCCTTGTTTTGTCCAGTTGTGCACAGGGTCCATGTAACTTGGTACTGACTTGATGGTACCTAACAATTAAAATAGAACATTGTCAAAGATCGTTTGGTAAAGCAGAGTAGAAAAATGAGGCAATTGTAAGAGCAGAACATCTGGCCAAAGGAAAGCTCTTTTCTCCCCTAATATGAGAGATACAACATTATGTCGGTGTTACTTATCCAGGAAGGGAGAGAGGGAGAGAAAGAGAGGGAGCCCTGTCATGATATCCTGAGAGAGGGGGTGAGCAAGAGGCTAACTGTAGAATCAAAATCCTGAAATGCACGAGAATGTAGATCTCCTTGTCGTGGAAAGAATATGCTAGTGGACTTGCTGGCAGGGCAGTGAGGAGATGATCGTTTGACTGTGTGTGTTTCATCCAGGACATCAGCAGGAAGGGCAACAGCTGAGTGTGAGGCTGTGGGAGGGATGTTTAAGATTTTGGGGGGACAAAATAAGAAATGTTTATTTCAGAGAAGAAGAAAATGTGCTTTCTAAAGAAGTATATAAGGACTTCCTGGAAGGCTTGAATGTTTGCTTGCAATGACTGGTTATGAATTAAAGGAGGACGAGTGTTTCTCTAGCTATGTTTAGTCGCCCAGGGCCTGGCAGGGGCGAGGCGAAAGGTGCGGGGCCAACAAGAGCTAGAGTTTGGCTAGGTGAGCAGAAAGAGGGGGTAAGTAGAAAACAATGAAGAATGGATGTGAGAGAATTTGATGGCAATGAGTGTATAAATGTGCTTTACACAATTGATGTATGTATGGATTGTGATAAGAGTTGTATGAGCCTCTAATAAAACGATTTAACAAAAGAGAATTTGAATGATGGTCGAAGGTGCTGGGCAATGAAGAAGAGCTAAATCGTGGGGCAAATGATAAAGATCAATGACCGAGGTTCCCAGGAGGTTGGTGAATTTGGGGACTGAGAGTACTAGTTTAATGATAAGGATTGAAATCAGCTGTTCAGAGAATATGATTTTTTTGATATACACAGGTGGGCTGATGGCCACAAGGTTGAGTTGGCTCAGGAAGCCCAGCACAGGAAGGGAGAGAAGGGAGCGGACCCACCCAAGCATCCAAACACTGACCGGAACCCACAAGGGTCTGACTCTGACCCCACACTTGCATTAGCTTCTGATTGGTTTTCAGCCATAAAAGCCGTGAAGCTAAATTGGGTTCTAGTCAAGATGTTTATGAAGTGGCAGCGAGAGTGAACAAAGCCGGCTCCGTGGGCACACGTTCCGTGCTTGCTTTTTAAACAAGAGCCCCCATCTTCACTTTGCACTGTGCTCACAACTTGTGTACCAGTCCTGGAGAGAGTGTTAGTGATTGCCAAGAAGAAATACGTTCTTTTCTTCTCATTTGTGCTAATTTCCCATAAGCCTCACGTCTCCATTTAGCATGCCATTAAAATTTTATCAGAGTTCATAATGAAAGTTTAAAAGAAACCATCTGTCGAACACTTAACTTTCAGTGTAAATGTCCTTTTAAAACCACTCACACTCAATAAATATCAGGCTGAAATGGAGAATTTCCTTAACTCAGAAAATCCAATCACCAGTAAACTGAAAAAGGAGATATAAATTTGAGCACAGATCTTAGGTCTTAAATCATCCTTGAATGATAGCTTAGAATATTTCTATTTCTATTTCTTATTATATGAGTATGTTATTATAGAAACATAGACTATATTTCTAAACAAAAAGAGAACTTAAAAACTACCCTCAATTTTTAAATTAAAGTACTTCTAACACTTTGGCCTATTCTACCAGTTTTTATGTACATAAAAAACATGTACACAATATATAAATGGAGTTTTATTTATGCTGATTGGATCATGAATTGAATAATATCTTATAATCTGAATTGTCATTTGATGGACTCTCAATCCTTATAAATATTTTTTGAAATATGGCTTTAATATGATGATTTGATTCAAATAAAGAGCAATGTTAGGGTTCCATTGTATGGACACGTAATATCCTATTAAACACCTGCCTTTTCAGACTTCACTAATATAAGCAATACCGATATGAACATCTGTATGTATGCATATGTGTGCCTTTGTTCATTCCAGTTAGCAGGATTTGGGGTCAAAAAGTGAGCCTATTTTAAAGGTTTCTGAGATGCATTTTCAAATTTCTCTTTTAGAGTTGTGCCAGCGTCTACACCCACTATTGGCAATGAATATTAACACTCCCTCCAAGGCACTGCCAATTGGATACACAAAAACCGTTGATGTCTGATGTTTTGCTCTATGAATAAGGTTGAACAGGTTTTCATACGCTTGGTGGCCTTTTCCTTTTTGATGAATGTCTTCTTAATGCTTTTGGTCATATTTTTCTTATTCTTTTGGGCGCCGACTATATATTCAAGCTGTGCGGCTCACTGTCTTCCTAAAGTGTCAAATGCCTCTGCCAAGGCCCTAGGAGTGACACTAAAATTCCAAGCTTGATTTACAGAACCGTTCATATGCATATAAAAGCCACACAACGAAAGCAAGGGCTAAAGAAGAACAGATGTGCTGGCTAACAATATCGAATATAGCAGCCGAAAGAATGATCAAATCTGTCTTGGAAAGTGTGGTCACATGTCCTTTAGAAGCAAGGATGGCAAGACTAGGTCTCATCTACTTTGGACACATGATCGGGAGGAACCAGTCCCCAAAGAAGGACATCATATTTGTGAGAGCAGTGGTTCGCAACCTTCCTAAGGCCTCCACCCTTTAATACGGTTCCTCATGTTGTGGTAACCCTCACCCCGCCCCCAACCATAATATTATTTTCATTGCTCCTTTGTAACTATAATCTTGCTACTGTTAGGAATCAGGCAACCTCTGTGAGGGGTCGTGAGGGTTTAGAATCACTGTATTAGAGGGTCAATGAGAAAGAGGAAGACCCTCAATGTGATAAACTGACCCAGGGGCTGCAACTATGAGCCCAAGCATGGCACACTTCTGAGGATGGCTCAGGACCAGTTAGTGTTTCATGCTATTGCACCCACACATACGGTCACCATGGGTCAGAACTAATTTGATGACGCCAAGCAATAACAACAGAGTTCCTGTATTTTTCCCTGTGCAACTGTTTTAAAATCCATTGTTAAAAATATATATAAATAAAAGCCAGTATGGAAGCTGTAATCATGATTAATCATTAATATCACTCAAATGAGAATATTTTATAAAATATTTCACAATTGCACAGCAATAATACAAACAATAAGATAAAAATTCCAGATAAGTTCACTGAACATTTCTTTCTGATCAATTTGCTCCAAATATTGGCAATGCAATTCACATACTGAACATCCAAGTTTGCTTGTCACCAGGCTCCCAATTGCAAACATGTCATTAATATTCTCATTGTGATTCCTGTGGGAAACTTGCAGGTTCTAATACACAATTGCATAATTTCACAAGACGACCCATTAGGATGCAGAATATTGAGCGTAAAGTTGGAGCTTTGAATTTTTAAATCTCTCTTACCCTCTCCAATGTAATTTCTTCAAATTCATATTCAATTTCTGTTCCATTGACCTGCAAAGCAGAAAAAAATGAGAGAATCAGAAAAAGATGGAATATGTGCTGAGGGAAAATAGCAGCATTCTTTAAAAAGATGGGAGTGGTAAAATTTTCATTCTGCTTATGAATAAACCACACTCTCTAGATATTTGTGTCTTCATCAAAATGAAAGACGGCCACGCCGCCAGAAATAAGACTCGGAGAATGAATGAGGGACTGTTTCCATCAGAATTGGGTGATTTGGGGAAGAGTACGGGATTGACAAGGGACAACTTAAAATATATATTAAGTGTACAAAGATTAAGACATCTAGGTCATTCTGGTAGGGACAAGAGGAATAACTCCAGATATTTGAAATAATCTATTCTGGATGGATGTTAAAAGGTGACCTTAAAACAAACAAACAAAAGAAACTAAAACAAAACTGTGGTAAAGGGCAGCACAACTTTTGCCAGAAATTTAAAAAAATAATGCAGCAGTAGAGTATCAACAATGACTGTATTTAATGAGAAATGCCTTTTATTGGCATACACTTAGGGCATTCATCCTTTTATCTTCTTGATAAGTTTGTGGGGAACTCTGGACTGCGTGGCCATGCTCATGTACTTCAGCTGCAGTAAGAAAGGAGTGAAGTCGGACATGTTGAAATTCCTAGTGGAGACCAGGTAAACCAATTCCTGAAGTTACTTGAACTGACAGATACAAATCCATTTTAAATATAGTCAGGTAACCCATTAACATATGCATGGATTTTCAACAAATGTCTGTACACATGTACAAAGAGTTGCTTTAAAATAATCTAACACATTCAATTCCTATTCTCATCTATAAAGGAGCCCTGGTGGAGTAGTGAATCATGTGTTGTGGTTGCTAACCCCAAGATCAGCTGTTCAAATCCACCACTAGGTCTGTGAGAGAAAGACGAGGCTTTCTATTCTGTGAAGAGTTATTTTCTCAGAAGTTCACAGGGAAAGGGACAGCCTGTCTTAAAGGGGTGCTCTGAGTTGGAGTCTACTGGATGGCAGTGAGTATTCACAGTTATACCATACAGAATTGCAAGCAAATTCTCTGGGAAAGAAAATTCTTAAATTTGCCTCCCCCCCCTTTTATGTATGTCAGTGACATCATTTATCATTTAGGATTAAAGACAGAATGAATCATTTAAAAGTATGAAATCATGTGTGTTTTTTATAAAGTTCCAACTTCAATTTACTTTCCCTCTTTAGAAGCATCTTACTGTAGTGCTGGCAGACGGAGGACAGTGCAGAAACAGAACTGCCAAAGAGGGTCTGGCAAGAAAGAATTGTCGGGGGTGGGGTGGGTGGAGAATGAGTGATTGGCTGAATCAGGTAATTAATTTATCTATCTGACTTAGAAGCACAGCCATTTGTGGATATTTCCCCATAGGAATGGTATGTAATGTCGTGGTGTCAAATGAAAACATAATTACAAACAGAGTGATTAATGCTAAATCACATAAACCATCCACTGTTAGTCCAAGTATGATCGTGACAGTAGACTTACGTGTCTGCCAGACACTATAGAGCATATTTTTTTGTTTTTGTTTTTTCCTAATTATGCAAGGTAATTGGTGAATTACATTTTACTGCATTACTATATTATCAAACAGCCCTTCATATGATTTTCTGGGCTTCAGTAACAATGCCTTATAGACAAAGACTTGAAGATATTAGGAACCTTTTGCAGACTCGTGGGAATTTTTAATAAACACAAACTCAGACTCCTTGTATGTGTGTTTCTGTACTATTTTCTTTTCACTTCCTTAGTTGCACGAGAGCTGATGGAAAAGGAAGGAGCAACGCTGTGATGTGTTCTCACTCTCTCCATTTGGCCCCAGGAAGCTTTGCTTTGCTCCAATGCTTCTCTGGAGGAAAGCCCTCCACTTCACACCACCACAGGCTGCAGACTAAGGAAGGAGAAGAGAAAAAGGGAAGACAAAGAAAGAAAAACAACCTTGGAGAGGCAAATGAGCCTCGGACCATAAACATCCAAGGGTTCAGGGTCAAAGAAATTCTGTTAAGCTATGTTTAAAAGATAGAAACGTTAGCGTGGAGGAGTGACACCTGGAAGGTCCTCGCTAACATCTCTTTAAGGAGCGCTGGGGACCCATGAGTAAAGCACTCAGTGGGAGTCAGAAGGCTGGTGTTCTAAGCTGCCAGGTGCTCCACACGAGACAGAAAGGACACCCTGCTTCTGTAAAGATGACAGACAGCCTGGGAGACTCTGCATGAGTTAGAACAGGTTCAACTGGCCACAAACGCTCTGTGTGTGTGTGTGTGTGTGTGTGTGTGTGTGCTCCACTGTCTATTTTACCATCACTTTGTTCTATCTAAAGCTCTCTGACAACCTTCCTTGGGAAGGGGTAACACCTCTATTTTATTAAAGATGTTCATTGACTGGGAAAAGGCCAAGAATTCACTCTGGCCATAATTTTGTAAACCCCTCTCAGCAAAACAAAAACTGTGTTATGGGCTCCCAGTATCTTTTGAGGTGCTGACAGGCATACTATTGTGGTCTGAACTTGCCTTCTTAGTCTCACTCTACGCCCAATTAGCTTCCCAGAATATGCCAGTTAGCTCATAAAGTGTTCTTCCTAAAAAGCCTGGCAAACACTCTGTCTTTCGATGGAGCCAAGGCTCCCGATGGGTTGGGGCCGGGAGTGTTGCACGGCCGAGGTTCCTGTTTATCCAGCTCTAACCCTGACTGTGACTCACAGGCTCATTTCCACCTTGATGACTGTAAAAGCGAACATTGTCATTTATAAAAATAGAATTGGAGTGTTGATAAGGTAGAATGGCTTTCCTAGATTTAAAAAAAATCAGTTTTTCTTTTAATACTTGTTTTATTGTTTGGAACCTAATGACTCTGTGGTGACAGCTGGTAGGTTTCTATGGTGGCCAGAAAATCAAATTGATGTCACACATTGTCCTGCTCTGTTCTGGGCATGTAGCCTACCTGGCATCATATGGCATTTTAGTCCAGAAAGTGAACCATACAAAGCCTACTCAAATTCAAAGTTTGTATTTAGTTCTAATTTCATAGACTTTGAATGCGTTACATATTTTATTCTTTCAGACACAGTCTTTAGCTAATTTCTTTCAGTAACCACCTGCCTAGATGATGAGAGAATTGAATCTTAAGATATATTTTTATCTCCAGAAAAAGGGATTTTTCATGAATAACACATGGGATCTAGTCCATGTGTAAATGTTCATTATTTGGAATCCTACAGGCAGATTCCTCTTAAATGCTGTGGTTGTTGGCCACCTTTGAAATTTTGTTAAATTAAGAAAGAAACCCACAGTTACCTCTGAGGCGGCTGCGTTTCTAACCTCCTTCATAGGACATACTGTGAAGAGGACTGCAATAGAGATGTCAGAACTTTGCCTTTTCTTTAGAGTAAACACAGTTCAAACCAACAAAGGATTATTGAGCATTCATGATGCCCCTAGCACTGTGAGAGGTGCTAGGACAATGAAGGATATAAGGAAAATATAATCCTTAAAGATGTACCAAGTACAAAAAAAATCAGACACTAGAGCAATGTAATATCCAAAATATAAAATATAGAGGTTAACTAGCTTCACAGCCCCACTGTGGCCTGAAATCTATGTGAATCTATTTACTATTTGTTGTGTATAAATCTGTAGACTCAATGCCTTAGCAGCAAAACTATGATAAATGATGGACCAATTCTTCCCCATATGTTAAGTAATTACCATACAGTACACAAGGCATGCCTTTGACATATACAGCTGTGTTGTCTGGGGAGCCGTGTGACGAGCATGGCTAGCAGTTTTCAACTTCCTCTTGCCATACACATGTCCAGGCAGGGGCCTTGCCACTCTGCTTCCGTTTACCTGCATCAGATACCTCAGTACTTGGCACATGTAGATACACAGTGTCTACATTAATCAGTAAACAGGTGAATCAATGAGTTAATCAATGAGATTTGGTGGGTTGGTAAAACATGCTGTTGTCTAAGACACTGGTTTTTAATGCAGATGTAATCTCACTGATGCAGGCCTTTGGGAAATGCCGCCTATATATCCTCTCCTGAGAATTCAGCTCTTCTCAGAAACCCTTCTGCCCAGTCTCACACCGTTACCCAATGCTCGAGGAAGTCCCCAGGAACGTGCGCATGCCAGCAAGCTCCCCCTTTTCTCCATTCCTCTTCTTAGTCACTTGCCAACCTATATCCTTCCCTCCAATTGGGAGATCTTTTCCAGCCTGCCTGAGGGCCCTTCACACCTAAATCTCCTCTGTGTGCTTTTTCTTATGCTCGGTAAGCTCACCCATGAGCTCTGAAGGAAACAGCGATGCAGACTTAAGCTCTGGTTCCCACAGTCTGAGCGGAGGTGTGTGAATTCATCGCAGTGTAATATGGAGAACTTCATTCCTCCGGTGCTAACTCTAATGCCAGCAAGGAGAGTAGCTCTTCAGTAGCACTGGCTTTCCTCTCAGGCTGCTCTCTTTCAAATTCCTTTTCTGTGACTGATACTGATAATAGTAAGGATTAGATTATACAATTTGCCTGAAATTACATGATTAGCACCGATCCGAATAGATTTAAGACTGTATAGTGGTTGTCCTACATAATTATCTCCTTTGATATTATTTCATGAAATTGACAAATTATTAGATGTGTTAACTACCTAGCACATAGTAGGTACTCAATAAAAGAGCTTTTATGATCAGTTTCAGATAACAAACCTATAAGAACCACAATGTAACGTCACAAAATACTCAGTTTGCTAATATTCCCGCAATATAAAATATAATCAAATAAGCCAACACACATGCTTTCTTCTATAAAATCCAATAAAAACCTTTCTAAACTCAATTTATTCCCTTGACCCCAAAGAGACTCTTCTTTATATTTAGATATCATCTTAGTTTTCTCTCCCAAATTATGAGGTCACTGTGGACTTCATCCAGAATATGACCTTAGCTAACTTTTCTCCCAGTCTTCTGCAGACCCATTTTGTTTTTAA